GTTCAGCAGTAGCCATGATCCATTCTGAAACTGTGGTTTTCATTTTGGTAGATGATAACTAAATGTTAATTGATAAAAATGTATGTTAAACTAAAAAGAATACTTAAAATAAACATAACCAATATTTTGTAAAATTGCATTTTAATATATTCAATAAATCATGCTTCCTTTTGATATTAAAAAAAGAAGAGGAAGGAGAAAATATGAACAATAAAATGGGAGTAAATACGTATCTGTCAACAATTGAATCTAAAAATAAAAATAAAGAACAAGAAATCTAATGAACAAAATAAACGGATAAATAAAATGGAATCAGAAGTATGGAAACATGGAACAGACTGAGGAATCTCAGCGGGAAGGGTGGAGGGGGGCGCAGGAAGAGATTAACATTACCTATGGACACAGACAGTAGGGTGGTGAATGCCTGGTGTGGGGTGGGAACCAGGTGGAGGGGGGCAATGGGGGAGAAGGATGGGGAACATGTGGAATATTCGCAACAATAAAAATAAAAAGAAAGTACAGATTGGTAGTTACAAAGTAGTCACAAGAATGTAAAGTACAGCATAAGGACTACAGTGAATAATATTGTAATAACTGCACTGTCAGGTGGGTACTAGACTTATGGGGGATCATTTCATAAGTCATATACATGTCTAACCACCTGAAACTAATAAAATATTAAATGTCAACTATTAAAAAAAAAGGCGAAAGATTTATGCGATCTGAAGAGAAACCAAATCGAAAAAAAAAGTGCAAGTTTATTCCTTTCTGATTGGGAGGTTCAGTGGAAAGAATCAGCACCCTGAGAAGGCTCCTTTCCGTGTCTCTCCCTTCATTCCCTAAGTTCCTCTTTCAACCAAGTGGAGCTCAGAGGCCTCAGCAGGCGCCCCCAGCCCGGCCGCACGCAGTTCTCACTCCTGCCAGCGCGGCGCCCGCTGCAGCTTGGAGCTGGCTCCTGTGGGCGGGACGGGGCGGGGCAGCGTCTAGAGCGGCCAATGGGAGCCAAGGCCGTGGGCGGGGCCGCGGAGGCTGCGCGAAAAAAAAGCCTGCCACTCGGTGAGGCCCTGGGCAGGCTGGTGCGCGGGACCGGCGTCGCTGGTGAGTTCCTGGCCGCAGCGCGTGTTTCGGTCTCCCCTCCTCCGGCCCGGCCCCTTTCCCGCGGCGCCGAGCACCCGCCGGCGCTGCCCTTCGGGACGGCCGGGGCTCGGGGCTGGGGCTGGGACTGTGGTTGGGACTGCGGTTCCGGAGAGCCGGCGCTGCCTCTGCCCTGCGGTGCGCGTGCAGGTCCGGTTCGCTGGCGGTCGGAGGGTTCCTCGGAGTGCAGAGCGCCGGCTCCCCTCCTCATCGCTCGGCGGTGTGGGGTGACTCCAGCGCCCGCGTCGCTGAGATCCAGGTGTGCGGTCCGCCCGGCATCGCTGGCTCCGCAGTGCGCTTCGCCTCCTCCGCGTCCCTCCCACTCGTGCTTCATTCAGGGCACCGCGGCTTCTGCTCCGGGAAAGGGCTCGCTGCATTTTGAACTGCCCCGCGACACGCCGGCTTGGCTTATGTTCGCAAGGACCGGTCAAATTAATGTGCTTGGGAAGGTAACGGAGCTCTGGATGTTAGCGTCTTTCTGGGTGTAATTTAATGGAAAGCAGTTGCGATGATCAGCCTTGTTCCTGCGCAAGAATAGCAAAACAGTGTTGCGATTGCCCGCACATTCTAGATTCATCCTCACCAAGTAGTGAGAAAACTGGAAAGAAAAGTGGCCTTTGCTTTGTGGCTGCCAAGTCTTGTGGCCATGGGATCGGGTAATTCATGTGAAATGATACGTAGTTTTCTTTTTATTTATTGGGGTGACCTGAAACACATAGGTTTCAGGTGTGGGTTTCTATATTACAATTGCACTGTGTGCCCACCACCCAAAGTCATATGAGATAGTTCCTAACATTCCTTTCAAATCTCACATTTATAAGTCTGTGATGAGCTTATTTTTCATCCTATACCCTTAAAAAGAATGGGAAATAAGAAAAGTTCATGCAAGGCGGGGAATAAAGGTTTATAAACGCACTGAACTTTCAGGACTATGATTACAACTTAGGACTGCAGAATGAAAAGGGAACACAAATAAAATAGAAAAAACTTATCCAGAATTAAGAATTTTAGAGAAACTTGGGAAGCTTTCAGAAGTTCCAGTAGCAATTACTGTATTTAATTACCTCTCTTTGCAGCTGTACAAATATGGTGAGGAGAAAAGTAAGTGCTAAGTAAGAAAAAAATATAATTCAGAGGTTATGTAACTTAGCATATTTCTTTAGTGTGGGGAGAATCCTTTGAAATTCATAATTTGTATAGACATTTGCACTCAGGAAACATTTTTTAAAAGAATTTTATATTCTTTATTTTGGAGAGGAAGGGAGAGGGAGAGAGAACTAGAAACATCAATGATGAGAGAGAATCATCGTCTGCCTCCTGCAAGTCCCCTTCTGGGGATCGAACCCGAAACCCGAGCGAGTGCCCTTGGCAGGAATCGAACCAGGGGCCCTTCAGTCCACAGGCTGAAGCTCTATCCACTGAGCAGCTTGGCTAGAGCCAGGAAACACTTTTTTTTAAAAAAATAGAGAGTTTTGTATTTCTCCTGCAAGAAAATATTACATTTATTATGAATATTCAGAATTCCCTACCCTGCTTATGCTTATGCATTCTTTTGAGACCTTAGTTTGAGGACTCT